CAGTAATCCTGCCCAGATTTGCTGGGCATCCGGCCATAACCACAGTATGTATGCTACCGCGCTGGTTTACTCCTTCCACACGTGGTGGCTGCACACGAGTATCCTAGTCGATCCCCTGCCCAGTGCCTCAGCATGTTGGATTTTTGCTTTAGCAGGTTTTGTGCTTGATAAGCCGTGGTGCCTGCTATGCTAAGGACATCCTTCCATGTCAGATCTGTCAGAGAGTGTAGAGCCTCCGCGATCTACTCGTGATTCACCTTCCATTTCACCCGGATCCCGTCTACTGCCTCATCGCATGTTGCTTCTTTGCTCTCGTGGTTAGGTCATTGTATCTCCGTGAGGTTTGTGCCCTCCATCGGTTCCCGGCCCACAGGGTCGTCAGCCTCGTTAGCCGCGGATGCGGGATCACCCACATAGTTTTGGTCAGTACTTGCAGGATCGTGGCCGCCGCTCCTGCTACAGTGGCAGCCTTCTGCACGCATTGGAAGCTGGTCTCGTGTGTTCCCCAGGAATGGGTCAGCCATTGCTCGTCCGCGCTTGGTATAGCAATCTTATGATGCTTGTTCTGGAGCAGATGACCAGGTCATCTTCCCTTCGCCTGCAATCCATATCCGGGTAGGCTGCCAACAGGCAATAGCACAACCCGCTGAACATGTATATTGTGCCACTTTCCATTGGCATTATGAGTGCTGTGGGTCGAAAGTGATGCCCCCCACCCCCCGCATCGGTCATTCCACTACCAGGATGTCCTTGATCGGCTTCCCTAATTTGCTGTAGGCCCCACTTGAACATATTTCGCCTCTGTCACCCCATAGGTTGACTGCACTCAACAGCTGTTCGTGCATCGCTTCGTGCTGAAATTCACCTATCAAGTCTTTCCTTGCTGCGTATAGCTTTTTCGTCCGCTCCCTCACCCCTCATCCGGCATCTGAAAATCAGCCCCTGTCCACCGTATTGTGACATCACCGCTGCGTTTCATATCTTGTCGAACCGCCGTCATCTCCGTTTGCTCGTTATCAACCTTGAGCTCCGGGCACTCAAAAGATTAACTTGCTCACGCACTCCCAGTTGTCCATAGGGTGATCGCAATTTACACGGCGGGTCTCTGGGGTTGGGAACCAGGTTTCCGTCCTCTCCCCCGTCTCGGATTTTGAGAATAACTTCCGCCAACCGTGATAGTCCCTCATTGTTTAGTTCCCATGCCCCCATTCATGCGGTGCTCCTCGCGAAGAGCTATGTATAGGCAATTTTGAGCCGACTGTTTGATTATAGCTCTGTTTATCATTCTATTATGAATTAATTTCGATCAAAAGGCTATCATCAGATCTTATCAAGTTTCAAGTTAGATGGAATTATCACGTCTCCATTCAAAAACAAAATTACGGGGACGGTAGACACAATTACTATCAAATATGCCAGGATATCACTGTATACAATTTCAGCTTAGACATGTTCATCCGTAGTAGAAGCGAAGCTCAGATTATCAGTTAAATCTGGGTATTAGGATTAGTGATACCAGCACAGGGTTGTGTCTCATAATGCGTGATACAATACTCTATTTTAATTTCTATTAGTATTAATATTCTGCTTTGCAGGTGAAATGTCGCTCCGTTTTATGGCTTAGATCGAGCCTCTCCGGAGATAAAAACCAGGCATAAAAATAACGTGACAACAATGTGACAGTGTCATACCAAAGTATACTTGTCCCCCACTTAGAGTTATCGAGATAATCGCCTCCGAAGTTGTCCTCCTTTCGTAATTAAGTGAAGTGTTGAGATAAGGCCGATATTCTGTTTGAGAATTCCAACTGTCAACTAAACTGAGCGTTCACACTCCAAGATGAACGACGTCACCGTTGGCATGGAAGCCCAGTACTCGAGCCACGATCTGCAGCCGTCCATTGCCACGCCCCAGCAACCAAACCTGCTGCGGGCCACGTCACCGCAATTGACGACTGGAGTGTGCATTAATGGCATCAACGCAGATGAAGCAGCACAAAGAGAGGAGCCTGTTGACAGGAACGGCGAGGACTGAAGCGATGTCGACTCCGTCGAACTCAACGAGGAGGTGACGGCTGAAATCGCAGCAAGTGAAGATGGCGATCAAATTGATGAGGGCATAAATATCAATTTGATGGAGATGGATGTCCACCAAAAGACTTTGAGCCTCATTTTGGCTGACTCGTGCGAGCGCCGCTATCTACAGGGCAAGTCGAAGGAGTTGGAGAGCCTAGCCTGTTCGATATCGCAGATGACATGTCTGAGGTGAGGACGCTCCGGTTGCGGAGAAGAAGTCGCACAAGTTGTGAGGGTCGTTTACCGCTCAATGGCAGCATCCGAATGCTCAACAAGGACTTGATACTTACCTCCCGGGGCAAACCAAATTAGCATATGTATGTCAATAATATGAAACCGGGTCAATCGCAAATCTTCGAGAGGTTTTACTCGAACTCCAAGAAGCAGAGAGCTGCAATGGATCCGCAGCGCAATTTTATGACATAGTAGCCAAAAAACAAAAAGGTCTGGGAATGGAGGTATTTTGTTTTTAAGGACCGCATCTTCGTCGGATCTAACGTTTAGAAATTCTGGTAGGTCATAATCGATAGCTAAGACGACACTCCTTCCACTGGTGCGTCTAAATCGTGGTTCGCACTTTGGTGGATAGATATTCTCAAGCAAATCGCTGTCTCAAATGGAGCTGGAATTATATAACTGGCCCTCGTTTACGTTCTCGAAAGTGCAACTGGGGCCGTTATATAGGAAATCGATCCTTGGCTAGATTTGACTTGTCATAGCCCGAGATATTAACTGCCCTAAGTAGACCGACTTGTAATTTAGGTAGACCTCAATTTATAAATCGAGGGTTCAGCTAGGTGAAAACGCCAAAAGTATTGAAAGGCTCAATACAACTTGTATTAACACCAAATCCCGCCCTCAATGAGACAGAGTTTTGGAAGGCCTCGATTTAAAACCAAAGTCAGTACTGTGATTATCCACCCTCCCCCCGCGCGGGCGAGACCTTCTCGCTGCGCACATTTACCGAAACCCCCTACACGATATGATTTATCATCGGGATGGGAGGGTATAGCTTACGCGATACCGTGCTTGGTCCTGGGTTTAAGTCCGCGTGCTCCGCACACGGACCTTAAACCGCAGGCATCATTTCAGCTTGCCAAGATTTTGTATTTCACCCCCTTTTTCGACTTAAGGTTGCGGTAACGACTCCGCCTAGAATGTGTCTATCTAGTACAAAAACTGCACAAATCCGTCTTGAGCCTTTTCATACATTCGTTGAAATTTAGCAAATAAAGACAGACAACTGTCAGTAATGCATCGGTATATTGAAAGCAACGGGCAAGCTCGCTGCAATATGTGCTGAAACAGATGTGTGCATACTAGTTCGTGTCCTTGCGTTGGCGCTTGAATTGACGGTCGCCACTTCCAGATACCGTGGACTAGTCAGAAGAGGCCTAGACTAGTCTTGAGAGGTAGCTCGGGCAGACGTTCCAGGCTCGCGCGCGCGAATGATGCTCCTGTCGGCGTCGTTGGACATGGGGATCAAGGCGCCGCTGCGTGCCAGATTGTAAAGCGGTTGCCGCCTCACCATGGCTCGTATGCTTGATCTTGTTTCACAGGAAGACGCGCAACGCAGCAGGATTTCATGCGAGGTCTGTGCTTCCTCGTGCCATCAGAGTTGCCATTGCGCCACTCATCTGTTTGTATCGGAGCATGCTCAGGCGCGGTTGGACTTCTCTTCGTTGGCGTAGGCTGCAGGCTCTTCAAGAACGCCACGTGCGAGACCTTGGATTTCCCGTCCGTGGGGCGCCTGCTGTTATCAGGATGAATTCATTCATGATTGCGAGGTGGATGATGCGGAGAAAGATTGACTTGTACTATTTCTTGTAGCGCCACGCCATCTGAAGCGAATACCTAGTAACAGACAAATGCACGATTAGAACACCCTTCAAAGGTGTACATACACGATAGCGAGACTTACCGTTGGAGACGTAGCTGATCGTGTACGTCAACCCCTCCCATAAACGTCTGGTAGTCCTTCACCACTCTTGGGGCCATCACCTCTGCTTCCTGGGCACTATCTTGGTCAAGGCGTACAATTCGATCTTGCTGTCAATTCCTCCAGCTGCAAGAATATGAACGCTCTGATCGTCATACCAGCCAATCGTCTTCATTGTTGGAACCTCCAGAGATTCCGCCACTTGGAAAGTTTCCCTTCTAATGTGTTTGGACCTCTTATTCGACGCACGGCCCCCGTTCATCAATTTAGCCGGGAGAATAGCTTCGCAGAGGCTTTGTCTGAGGACTTGTCCATAATGGTGCCAATGCAGTAGGCTATCATCGTCAGCAACTGCATGGTGAGGCCGACCGATGTATAAAATCGATCTGTGACGATAAGGTGGAATTATTTCGGCCCAGTACACCGAATTCTTGGTGGATATTGCGCGAAAATTGTGGCAGGTCCAGACTTCGCGTCAGCTCGTGTGCTGACGTCTTGTATCTAGTGCGCTTGACGCAGTATACTTCTAAGGATACCACAGACCACTACGTCGAGCATACACAAAAACAGCAGACAGAAGACCTCGCGCGCTCGAGACAGTCGAGGCGCAGGATCGAACTCCGGCCAAGCCAAGACAGACCTCGGATACGAACCGAGCGGCTAGAACCCATTCTTCGACCAGTAAAACGAGACCGTGGGTGCACCACATAGGCCATAGTAGGCTGTGTGCATGTTGGAGCTAGCGTGTGGCTTCAAAAGAGGCAAAAGAAGGCAAAAGAAGACAGCGTGTGACTGTGGGGGGGGGGGGGCACGCCAAAAAGCCCAAAACCCGCGC